CACACGTTCCTCATCATAATCCTGTTTATGCTGTTGGAATTCAGCAATTGAGTTTTGAACCTCCTTTGCCAAGTCCTCAGTTGAATACTGCAGTGAACTCCAATGAGTGAGTTTTTTTTTTTTTTTTGGAGTACTATCTGTTACAATGTAGTATCTGTTCATACATACTTTCTCAAGTCTACTGAAGCACAAAGAGACAATGCGCCCCCACTGGGGTTCGAACTTGTAACCTCCCATTTGAGAAAGCCACAGTTATGCCGCTCGACCACAAGGTCTTTGGCAAGTGAGGTTATATATTGTTTGTTCATATAGAATTTTGTCAAAATCCAGACGACATGGATAAGGCACATGGTATATCTTGCGACAAAAGGAATATACCAGCAAAATAAAACGTTCACCTGCAGATTTTCACGAGAAAATATGTCACCGATGGCTAGATTTTGCTTTATAATTCTCGTTATATTTTCCTTTTGTGTGTTAAGGAACTGATTCACAGCCTTCGGGCTTGACAGAGCTGCCAGCTGTTGTTCGTTTATCTTCATATTTGCCTAAACCGAGAAAAATCATCACGTGAGTGCGTGTTCATACAAGTTGAAGATAATGAAGATGGCAACAGAAAAAAGAGACCGGAGGTGCAAGACGACCTGTACTTGTAATAGCTGGGCTCCATATAGCTGCCTCCCTTGTTCCTCGAAGATTGATTGTGGGATATCAATTTCAACCATCTAAAGAAAATAAATTTCACAACAAAACACATTAGAAAACCTCATCTAATGTGCAAGAATATGTCTCTAAAAATAAATGACCTGTTGTATCTGGTCTAGAATTGCATTATCGGTTGCTTGATCTTTAGCTGACTGCTCCACTTCCTGGCACTTTTGCAACAATAATTGCTTGACCTGCAGATTCATGAATCATATGTTTTAAACAAAATAAAAGCATTAAAGTGATTTAGTTATACGATATTATCCTTAATTCTTAGCAAAGTGTGACTGCATGTTTAGCTGCGAACCTCCTCAATGGTAGTGCATCCTGGAATGAGTTTATCAGCAATGGAGTCATTCAGCTCGGGTAAATTTCTATAAAATAGTTCCTTACACTGAACCTGAAAACATAAAATAAAACAAAGATTTGAGATGACAAATGATGAGTAAGAATCAACAAATGCTTTAATCACTAAAACAGTTGAGAATATGCAATGCTATGATATGCACAACCAGAAATAGAAAGGAACCCACCGTGAATTGAGCATGAACACCACGGAGATCTTCTTGTTTCCATGATTCTGGAAATACAAGTGGAAAGGACTTTGTTTCGCCACTTTTAATACCAATTATCGAGTCCAGGAAACCAGGGAGAACTTTATCTCCATCTTCTGTATCAAAGTTAAAACCTGAAAAGAAAAAATAGAATGTGAGAAATAACAAAAGAGGAAAACATTATTATGAAAAGCACAGATTGAACCTTTAGTCTCTGCTGCTGGAATTCTTTTAGCATTTGATTCATCTTTTTCAATTGTTGTTGCTGATATATCAATAACTGCAACATCACCAATCTGTGATTCCAATAACTTGCACTTATGAGATAGGTTAACGAAAGAAAAGGCATTTGAGCTAAAAATATATATATATATATATATATATATATATATATATATATATATATATATATATATATATATATATTAAAATAAACAGAGCTGATCATCAACAAAAACCCTGGATGATGTATGTTGGTAAAATGTATCCTTCAAAAGTGGCGGAGCACGATTTTATACCTGTAGTCCCCTATCAGCAACAATTTTTAGTGCACCTAAAGATTTGTGGCGACGTTTCAATTCTTGTTCGGCAATTCTCTGAGCATCAGTATCACTGTCTAACTCCACAACAACCTTTAAATTTTTGTATGCATCTTCTGGAATCCACTTGACTACTGGTGCCACATCAACAAGGACATCATACCTGAATTACCATCATTAAATTTAGGTAAATAATTACCTAAATTCTTGTAAACAAAGGTTGTCCTAGACACAGACACTACCACATTAAGAAAAAAAAAAAAAAAAAACTAATATGGGGTAATAAAACAAAGGGGAAATAGCAATTTTCATCACTGAGTTTTGTTAGAGTTGGGTTAAAAAAAGCCACTTTGTAGACAATTGAGGGATGAAAAAAGCCACTTTGCAAACAATTGAGGGATGAAAAAAGCCACTTTGCAAACAATTGAGGGATGAAAAGTGGTGACACTATAGTTGAGGGATGAAAAAAATGCTATTTTCCTATAATTTAGGAAAGAAAAGTGTCATTTTCCCTAAAACAACTAAATAGTTACATGCCAATTGTGGTCTAGTGCACGAAGTGGCTCACAGTATTGACTCTTTGTGCTTCAGTAGGTTGAGAAAGTACTTATGAACAGATACTACATTTGTAACAGAGTCAGTAGTACTCAAAAAACTAAATAGTTACATTACACTTTAGGTGCTTAAGCTAATATCACCTTATCATCACTCTCCCACATCCATTTTACTTCAGCATTTTGATAAATTTAGAAGATATTAGAAAGTATTAAACAGGAAGTACACCGAATAATGGCTCTAGCAAACCTCAGAGTGTTCAGAGTTGTATAAGTCTTTTCCATGTCTGAAAATTTCGAAGCAATACGAATTGAGTCTTCCAAGGCCTTTCCAGTCACCTATGGGGATCATGATACATCAAACTAGTTAACAAACCAAGAAAACTGTCTCTGCAAATCTTAAGCATTGACAAAAATAAATGGTAACAAGCAGATTAAAACAGACCGAAGACAAGGCATGTGGGAGAGTTCTCTTGAGAATAGACTCAACAGTAGCTTTCTGAACATTTTCCTTCCCCACATAGTTAACCAGGATGGTTTCAGGAATATTCTTGCCAGGGCGAAATCCAGGGATCTGAATTGGACATTTCAATTGCATTTCATTTCACTCTCTCTGCAGTTTCAACTTTCCAAAACATAAAGAATATATGAAACAACAAAAGTACCTTTGATTGTTTCCCAAACTCTCTTATTACTCTTCTGTAAGAATCCTCACATACAACAGGAGGAACTTCTACACTCAACCTAACCTGCAAAGAGAATAGCATATATAATTGTTGAGTATGTCTCATATATCCATAATGAAGCGGACCGAAAATATTTTATACATTTACATGTATAAAAATGAAACGCCTATAAATACATTGATTGTATCTCTTAATCTGGATAAATATCATAACATCTTGTAATCCTTTTAAGAACAAACAGAAAATTACCAAATTCCAGTCCATAACAGGAAGTAAATTTCACAAGATTTCAAACTATAAAGCGGGAATTTGTGAGCTCACCCTGGAATTGGGCTCTCGGGTTTCAGTAACGTGGAGATCAGCGGGGAGTTTGTCCTCCGCAGTATCAACTGCCCCGCCGGGAGCCGCGGAGACTACAAACCGGGTCGACGGTTTCTGAGACGGGTAAAGTGGAAGAAATGAGAAATGGCGGGAAGATGATGAAGGTGGAGAAATGTTGCTGAGAGAAGCGAAAAACCTGAGTTGTTTGTTGGGTTGAAGAAATGGCGGTTTGGCGGAGAGACGAAGAGGAGAAGGAGGAAGAGAGAAAAGAGAGGGCCGGAAACGGTGCAAAGTTGGAGTGGAAGTAGCAGAGGGATAAGTAAGCTCCATTCTCTGGCCTCGACAGGAAGCAATATTGCCGCCATGGATAAGATACTCGGATTAAATATCAGGACTCAGGAAGAACACATGCAACGGCGTCGTTTGAATTGAGCAAATCAAAATAACTTATTACAAGAATCTCCTAAATACTTTTTTGTGAACTCAAGCATCCTCAATAGTTGATTTTTTGTCTAAATTAGAGGGAGTGATTTTTGTTTAAGAGTTTTCAAAAATAAAAAAGCTATGGTAACGTGCCCAACGGGCGCGTGCAGAAGAGTCAGCAAACTTTGAATTTTATGATCTGTATTTTGACGAGTCATGTCTCTTTTGCCCATTTTGACAGCTCTATGTGCAGTGCACGCGCTCAGTTAGGCGCTGTTGTTGCGCCTCACACCACAAATGAAATAACTTTTTTTTTTTTTCATATTTGATGAAGCACATTTCAGAGACTAAAAATTAATTCTTACAATAAGCTCTAAATTTTTCTCTCTCCTCGTTTTCTCTCTTCCACTTCAACAAAAATCTTCTAAAAGACCATACCAAAATATCTATCTGTGGATGCCGTTAGAGCATCCTTATCAGTTGGGGTTATTAGGGGGAGAATGTAAGAGTGAGTAGGAAAGAGAATAATGTGGGAGGGGAGGGAAATAAAAATAAAAACTGATTTTATAAAAAAATATATATAAAAAATAAGCATGTCATTTCTCTATTGGTTCTTTATCCTTCATCATTAATTATTTTTCTTGGGCAGAGTAATATCCCGACATTTGCAGATGCTCCCCACCCCTTCTCTCTCTTGATTCTCTCTCTGCCACCATGGCATTTTGGTCTCAAAAGTAGTGAATTCTCCCCTATTTCTCCTCTGATGTAGATGCTCTTATATCCTCTACAATATAATATATTTTATTTTTGACTCATAAATATTAATTTGATCACTTTTAGTTACTATTTTTTTAAAATTAATTAAATTTAGTACAACGAGATATTTTTATATAAAGAATGGTGAATTTAGCAGAGTCGAAAATATTTTAAATAGTTTGAAATGAGTGTGATTAATATAAAAAAGTTGAAAGAGCAATAGTGGAATCAATAATTAAGAACCAAAAATGAAAATATTAGTATACTTAAGGGATTAAATGTCGAAATTATGTAAGTGTGGGGGGGCTATTTGCGTGGAGGGTAAAAAGAAACCGTACGGCGCGCGAAGAGACTTCATTAGTACAATCCTCGATAACCGTTTCTAACTAAACGGCGTCGTTCACAGCTTTTAAGCTCACTCTGCCACCCCTCTACAGCAAAGCACACTACTTACAGGAGCGGGTCCCGAGCTTTCACGATGCGGGTCCCGAGCTTTCACGCATCGTGAGAGAGAGAGAGAGAGAGAGAGAGAGATGGAGGGAGTCGGGTCGAGATTCGGTCGGGCTTCATCCCGGTACGGCTCAGCGCCGACGCCGGCGGTGTTCAGCGGCCCCGTCAGGAAGTGGAAGAAGCAGTGGGTGGTAACTCAGCCGAGTACGCATCGCAACACTACCAACGCTAACAACGCCGCTGCTCCCACGCTTCTCCTCTGCCGCTGGATTCCTCTTCCCTCCGCCGCCTCCGGCGACTCCGCCCAGCCTCAAATGTCTCCCAAACGGAAGTTTCGATATGCGCCGGTAAGCTTTTTTTCCACCGAAACGAAAAAAAAAAAAAAAAAAAGGTGTTATCTAAAATTTTATTGTTTATTCGCAGGATTTAGACGTTTCGTTAGGGTTTTTGTTCCATGTCCCTTGAACTCTTATGAACATCCAAGTAAAATTATGTTCTTCTTTTGAGTCGAAATCTGTTAGTTTTATAGTCGAGGGAGGACTGATGAAATAACTCATTTCTTTTGGTTTCTTTTAGTTGAAATTTCCAAGTTGATGGGAATATGATTTCCCATCTAAATTGCAAAAGGATTTCCAACTTTGGGGTGTTTAGTGCTAGCCTGCAACTTCTATCACCATTTTTAAGATATTACATACTTCTCTTTCCTTTTTGGATTGGATAAGTAATGGATGTTTCATTCTTTTTTCTCCTGTAATTTCAAAGATTGTTGACCTAGAAGAAAAGAAAAGGGAAGCCCTTAAGAAGGTTGAGAATGAAGCGAACACAAGAAAGATGGACAAGGCTGCCTCTAGTGCGACGCTTGGAAGCGGTAACATGTTGAAGAAACATAACATCAATGATATCTTCAATGAGGATTTTCAGGTAACGGTGGTATACTTGTTTTTCTTTGTCAAAGAATGAGATTCAGTTGTGGTCTAACGTGTTTTCAATCCGTGTTCTATTACTCATGTCTTTGCCCACTATTGAATCAAGTTTACCATTTAATGTTCATCATATCTTTCGTTCGCTATTCACCCCCTTCTCAAGATTCAAACTTGGAATAAGCTCAGTTGATCGTACGTGTTATCTAACCCCGCGTTTTGCACTATGCAGGAATCAAGCAAGAATGAAGTGCATCCAAACAAAAGCAAGCGGGAACTCACCTCCTTCGTGAATGGGCAAGATTGATGGACCAATGCACACACATTCGAGAGCACAAGGTCTGTAGTTTTTACTTTCTAGGCTGAAATCCCCAGCGTGTAGGGAAAACTAGTAGAAGCACCACCTGCTTAGCACTTGGTACTCTCGGGTTTGTTTTTGTTCGGTGCCTAATATCCGGTGATGGATTCCAGGCCTTCCCTTGTAATTAAGCTTCATGTTAGCTTCTGGTGTTGAGATGTAAATATAAGCTCAAGTAGATTTGCTATATGCTTGGTTTCTGTTTCTTCTGAGAGCATCATCCCTCATCTAGTCAGCATTCACCAATTGCTGCTTGTGGTCAAGCCATCCAAAGCTCTTTTTATGTCCTAAGAAAAAGGGGGTAAAATGTTGGTGTTCAAAGCCATATAAATAGTTTGAGTTCCCTGAAGTTCAACTATTAGAATACAATTCAATATACAACATGATGGGGTGAGCTAGTCATAAGGATTCCTGAAATTCTTGAGGAGGTCTGGGATGTCGTATCCAAGCATGTCATCTACAGCTTGCACCATTTTAGGCTTCAACTTTTCAAACTTGTCAATGCTGTAGCCACTCAAGATTTCCCTGAAGTGTTCAACACTTGGGAAATCCCCTGCCGGCAGATGATGCTCCCTTTGAACCTGTTTGTGAATATATTAGTATGGAACCAAACTTCAACTTCAACATTCAAGTTGCAAGCATGCATGTTGAGTATAATATATAGGAATAATGGTCAAATAGGTCATCGAACTATTCATGAAATTGTAATTGGGTCATCCAACTCAAAAGAACTGCAATCTGGAATTTGGGGGTGATTTTTTATTTTATTTAAAATTATTAAAATAAACAAATAATAATAATAAATTTTTAAACAGGTAACCATCACGTCACCAAATACCAAGTGAACATGTCATTTTAGATTCAATTACATGATTTTGCAGGACCAATTGTAGTTTTTTGAGTTGGATGGCTCAGCTGCAATTTCGTGTGTAAATTGTGTGTAGTTCGAAGGGACTTATATTTGACTTTTTTCCTAATATATAAAAATAATAAATTTGTAATCCAACTATTAATTTAGACTCATAGTTGATAATGAAACGATAACAGGGCACAAACCTTAGCGAATTCATCAGCCAAGTTATCAATAAGCCTCTGTTGAGTCTTAGCTTTGCCCATCATTGCAGGCATCTCCTTCCTTAAGTGACTAATGATAAAGGCGTGAATCTTGGCAGCTCTAGCACGCTTCACAAATTCATTTATCTGTACACAATAACAATTGATATCTTTTACTACCAAGTCTTACAAATCCAACAACCACTGAACTTGAATATAACAAGATCCAGAAGAGAGACTACTGAAACTTACACGACGATCACAAGCCTTCTTTGGTATATCTTTCAAGTCACTCAGTAAGTCATCTTGTTCCTTTTCAAAAAGCTCTTTCCCAAGTGGACCAGTAGCAGTCTCATTTATGGGTTTGTCGTTAAACGACCTGTAAAAGAAATGTAAATTTCAAAATCAACTGCCTTGGTTTCAAATACATGCATGGTTGTTTAACCAATGAATTGGTTGATAGACTTCAAGGCCATCCACAAAATGTTTGCATTCTATAATACAGACAATTGAAGCATGTGCTCCATCTCAACTAAAAGCCTAAGCTGATAGTTGGATTGCACATTTATATTGATATATATATTATATGCTCAACACAGACAGCAGCAGTTTAAATACAGTACAAGAAAAAAGATCACAGCCAGCTATACCCGATGTAAACACGCATAACCTCTGGAGTATTTAGTACTTTCCCCAAGGACCACATCAATGCCCCATAAACCCGCATAAGCTGCAATTCAAGGCCACTCAATTAAGTTACAGAACTATATAGAAAATGGTATTGTAGAAATAGTCTATGAAGTGGAATTGTAGCTGGAACTGAAGTCCACAAAAAAAAAAAAAAAAAAAAAAAAAAAAACCTTACTTGTTGAGTATCAACTTGATCGGCCTTGTTCAGAACAACCCTTATCTTATCATCATGACCTCGAAGAGATGAAATTACGCGTTTAAATTCATCACTGATGTCAAGTTTGTGAGGATCAAACAACAGCAGAATGAGATCACATTTGGCAGCAAACCAAGATGTCACACCAGTAAAGTCATAGCTTCTTTGTGTTCGTTGCTTCTCTCCAGATAAAACTCCAGGAGTATCAACAATTGTAAAATGTTCCAACAGCTTTTGAGTATTCAAAAAGATAAAAAGAGAAAGAGTAAATAATAAACCTATTTCAATATTCAAAGAGAGAAGGTCAAATTAGAAAGGGCCAGTAACTCACAGGGTGAGGCATTTGAGAACATTCAAATTTCGACAAAAATGCTGTTCCAAAAGTTGTCAGACCACTGAATGGCATGTCTGCTTGAACAGCAACTGTGTTCCCCGGAATACTCCTTTCATCAGGTCCATTCTGTAAAAAGAGTTCTCAGATATCACATGGAAGGAAACAAAAACAAAATCCTGTACAAGTTAACATGGCAACTTCATCAGAAGAAAAGTTCAAAATACCATTACGACAACAAATCTGTCTGTCGTAGGCTCTGGCCCAATGTGAGCTCCTGTAAATATACAATATCATATAATGTCAATTGCAACCTTACTAAAGGAAAATTGAAAACATAATTGGAAACAACTTGTAGACAATAAACAGAAGAGGATATAGGCAACCTGGATAACTTCTTCTAAGCAAATGTTTAATAAAAGTTGTCTTCCCAGTAGAGTATTGACCCAAAAGCATCACCATGGGCTTGGCATCAAAGTCGCTGTTTGTCTATTAACAAGCAATACATACATCAGGAAAAAAAATGTTAATTCTTTGACCTTTTCTAAAATAAATTGAGAAAAATACTTATTCTCATCATAAGATGTGAAATAGCACTGTTATGGAATATATATTTGATATATAGAATCTCTATATATTAGGCAGTTTAGGGTTTTAGGTAGGTAGGACATATGAAAACTTGTTTCCTATTCGTAGTCTTCTAGTACCTATTTATAGGGCTTTGTATTCTCTTTTCTATATGACAGTTTGACAATATACGACAGCACATTAGAAACCCTCTCTTTCTTTACTTTCGTAACAAGTACAAATAGGAGGTAAGTTCCACCTACCAATAAGGGAGAGACAAAATCATTAAAGCGATATGTAACTTCTAGTGGTTTCAGATTCTGGATGTATAGCTTTTTCAGTCCATCAACGATTGAAGTCACAGAGCTTAGAGAGACCTGAGAATATACACAAAGAGCAGGACATATCACTTGGAGAACAAAATACTAAAAGAAAGATGAATTAGAGAACCAACATGAATAAAAGAAGCACAGAAACATGTGACAGCTTCAGTTGGGGAGAAGAGACCAATAAATTGACTATAATACACAAAATAAATCATTCATATTGATAATTAAGAACTTCTTCCAACTAACACAAAAAAGGAAACATCTAAATATATTATATATATCAGCCAAAATGCAAAAGTCAAAAGGATATGGTTGAAAATAGATATTCCCAGAGAACATAACATATCATTAAATCATATATTATGCAAAATTTTGTCAAAGAAAGAGGTAAAGAATACAACTCTTGTAAATTTTTTTCAGCAAAATTGGAGAAGTTTTCCATTCAGGTATTTGCGATTCACTGACCTTCCTCACAACAGATCATGGAATAAATAAAAAAGCACCTCCAGAAAATTGAAAAAAATTGCATATTAACCAGATAGCCAATAACATGGGGTGTATGTCAACTTGTGAAAAATGTTAGTATTACACGTTGGCAGTTTGGCACTAATGAAATTATTAATGTGATGAAAAATCAACACAAAGCAAAATCAGAAGAAACAGCAGAAATTTTCATGTTTGAAATTGAAAGCATATGGAGTAACCAAATGGACCTTCTTTGCAGATTTTGATGACTGAAACCAACTAGCTGCTGGAGAGGATTGCCTCGGAGGGCTGCCTACACCATTGCAAAACTAGTCAAATCCAGAGGCCCAGACAAAACTAATGAAATAAGAAAAGGGGTTGAAAATAAGAGAAGAGGGAGCTCTCTTGCATATATAAATATGCAGTAGACATGTAGAATCTTACCATTCTGCTCAGGTTCATTTTTTGAAGTATACTTTTTCTTCTGTAAAATAAAAATAAAGCAGTTAAAATTGGATAATAATTTATAAGAAAATAAGAGTGGATCTAATATACTTACTGCTGCCAATTGTGCATCCAAACCTTCCATCCTAGGTGGCTCCAAATTTTCAAAGTCAACTGCCATGGATTGAATATCCCCATGGTTAAGTTGCAATAAAAAAGAATTGCAATTAAGAGATAAATTTATTGCAATTAAGAGATAAATTTTAGGCAATGAAGGGACAAAGCCTATGAATTGAGATAGCAGAAGAGTGCCTCCACAGGAAACTACATAAAAAGGATAAAATTTTGAAAGTTTACTAGTTACCTTTGGCATCTAAAAGATCAACTGTTATTGCATTGCCAGCTTGGGCCAAAGACACTAACTAAACATTGAAATGCAAAGAATAATCAGTTTTCATGAAACATTGTAATTCTATAAGAAAAACCTAGAGAGCAAGAAAGAATCAGAACCTGCATTCCAATAACAAACTCTTTAAAACCAAGATAGCCTTGTCGTTTGGAATCTGCAATTGCCCAGACCTTAGGGAAAACAAAATAACTTAAATGAGATAGCTAACACAAGTTTCAAGTAAAAACTGCATTCCTGAAATGGAGGAAATAGAAATGAAAACTAATGAAGAAAGCCAGAAAGGTCTGAAGTGATTTAGTGGAAATGAACTACACACACATTAACTATTAGAATGAGTCACAGTACCAAGTAGCCTCTCAACTCTCGTGTGCTTTAACCCACGACCAAATGGTCAATGGGAGTGCAATTGGTTACTACACCAAGCTCAATCCTGAACGAAAAACCACATGTTTTAAAATAGATTGAGAAAGAGAGGGCAATACATCTCCATAACAGATTAGAAGAGCCATGGAGGATATATACTTAATCACCAATGTTTCCGTTGTTCTACACACACAATTGCTCTCGTGATCACTTCTATTACTAATCATCAGCCAACTATTGAACAGAAAAGTAGGAAAAAGTGTTCTCGAGCATAGCATTGATAAACAATTTCCAAGCAAAACACTCGAAGCCAAAGTTATGCACAAAACATGACCTCGAATACTTTCCCGGTACTTCCACAACGAATTTTAGCAATTAGCCAATTAGGAATATGCAAAGGCAAAAAGAATAAACTGAACCTGCTTTAGTTCCTGGCGGGACAGGTTCGACAGGGCGAAAAATTTCGTAGCATCGCCTCCGGTGATGCGTCCATCTCCATCTGAATCAAAATTTAAGTAATTATAAGTACGAGATGCATAAATGCAGAAACTGATTGCCTGAGATTTTTTTAAAAAAAAATGAACAGAAAATAATATTAAAAACCACAAGTTGTGAGGGAGAAGAACCTGAATCAGCAAAGGAGAACCATTCCTGATAGATCTTCTCGTGAGCTTTGGAGCAACGGCTAATGGGAGCTGCATCGATCTCCATTAACGAAGGCCTTTGAAGCTTGAGAGTTGTGTTTTGTTTATAGATCTAACCTTTGCTTCTTTTTCTTTTCTACTCTTTCTCTCTCTCTCAAGTCAAAATAAAGTCGCGTTACTGCTTACTTTTTACTGTGGAATGGGGAGGGAATGCACTTACTTCAAAATTGTCCGAAGTAAAAAAATTTCGGAGTAGCAATTTTTGTAATATTCAGTTTCTCAAGAGGTGTTTGGTTTAGTTTCCCAAAAGGGAGGTATTTGGTTCATGTTTTTGTTTGGCAATTCGCAGTTAGCATATTGTGTTAGCAGTGAATTGTATTAGTGGTTTGTAAAAAAATATTTAATAAAATTAATTTAGCGATTAACCTATAAAATAACTTATAAAGGTATATATAATATATAATAATAATAATAATGACATGCTTGCATGATTAATAATAACAATAATAATAATAATAATATTGTTATTATTATTATTTTTAAAAAAGGGAAGCATATATTTTCTCACTTTTCTTCAAAACGCCAACTGCAAACGTTGCAGTGTTTGCAAAAGCAGCGGGTTTGAAGTAAATTGCTGATTTACCAAACATACTTTTTGACGTTTTGATCATGTCAAAACGCCAAAAAATGAAGAATTCGCCAAAAAATTGGTGGATTCACTATTTACCAAACATGGCCTATAACTTTTAAACATGAGATTCAAATTTAAATTTGATATTTATATTTGAGTTAATTCCATTTCTTGTCCTAGATTTATAGGTGGTAGCTCATTTTTAATTTTTTTTTCTTTTTTTCAAAACATCCACATTTGGTCATAGTATTATTGCGACATGATCATTTTTTTTTGTCATCCATCAATAAAATTGTTGAAATGTATATAGGCATTTCAATCATTTTTATTCAATTTGAGTTGACCCCACTATATTTTTATCAAGGTTGAAAAAATCGCTAGGCGCCTGGGGACCGGCCTAGGCGCCCGCCTAGGGCGCCTAGGTGGCCGACCACTTAGCGTCGGCGCCTAGGCCCGATTTGTGCAACACTGATTTTATGTTTATTTTTTTGAAAAAATCGTAATTGAAAACCAAACTGCGTTTGTATTTAACGGCATTAAAATTGTTTTGTTGATAGATGACCAAAAATAATCATGACACAATAATACTAGGACCAAATGTGGATGTTTTGATAAAAAAAAAAAACAAAAAAACAAAAAAAAAACAAAAAGGAAAAAAAAAAAAAAGACTAAAAGTGGACTATTACATATAAATTTATGATTAAAAATGAAATTAACTCATTATATTTGTTCGTCTAATTTTAATGTAACGGAATGACTCTTAGCCTGAATTTATCCCTACAATATTCTTTCACATTTAAAAGTGTGTCTTACTTTTACATCACTGAATTTATAATTTCTTTATTATTTTCTCAACATTCCTTCGGTTTGTCAGGATTGCAAACTTGCTGCTGTTACAAGTTTGCAACACACGTAAAAAATTGATTTTTAACGTGCCATATCACCTTACAAATGTCCAAATTTCAATGATAAATTTAGCCTTAAATCCCTCCAACATTGAAGTCCAGTTTTGCATTCCATAGTGGAAAATAAGGAAAAGGAACAAACACAAAACAAAATTCCAACGCCATACTTGTTCATTGAGATTCACTCATTCACAATGCAACATTTAAAATTTTACATTGTTGTTTTATAATCATATATTTATATTAGTTTTAAAATTTGATTTCAGCTTTAATTTTTATACAAAACGATCAAACTATATTTTATTACGAACCATTCCAATTATTAAGACCTATTTCAATTCATACGATGTAATCAAACACTCCCTTGTGAAGGGTTAGATTTGATTCCTTTAAAATCTCAAAAAATCAAATCAATCATGTTATTAAGAATTTTTAATATAGAATATACACTATACACATAATTGAATGACTAAATCTGTATTGTAATCTCAAATTTAAAATTAATAGACTAAATTTGTCATTTTCATTTCTAGAAAATATAAAATGAAAAATATATTCAAATTATTATTATTTTTATTCAAAAACGATAACTTTTACTAATACAAGTTTCATCGCTGGAGTCATGAGATTATGCAAAACATAGATTTAGAGTATGAAAACATGTTTCCATGCTAAATAGCCTAAATTTGAACAAAACATTATCTTCAAATAATTAAACAGATAAAAAAAATCATTAATATGGAATAATTAAAAACATTACTGGACAAAATTAAATGTAAAAAACTAAAGTCATGAAATCATTATAGCGGATAATCAACCCTTTATAAAACCCATCTAAGGCTCTGTTTGGCAAACCTAGCTGAAAAGCTATAAGCTAGGAGCTGAAAGCTATAAGCTCGGAGTTGAAAACTGAAGAGCTGTTAAGCTAGCCGTTATGATTGAAAGTGTTTGGTAAAATTAGCTTTTTGATAAGCTGATAAATGTAAAAAGACTAGAAAAGACATCTTCATAAAATTTAAATTAGTTTGTTTACATATTAAAATTTAACATTTTGGAATAAAACTATTAGTATAATCATGATCTAGCATCTCATAATGAAGTAGCAATATTCTTGCAAATCTCATAATAATAATAATAATAATAATAATAATAATAATAATAATAATAATAATAATAATAATAATAATTGCGGTGAAAGTTGCGGATAAATGAGAAAAGAAAAAAATTTTAATTGGGAAGGGTAAATTATATCATTTTTTTAAAATAATAAGGATAAAGATGGAAAAAAAGTTAGGAAGCTATGAGCTTATTTTGAATAGATAATGTTCCAAAATAAGCTCTTATTTTAAGCTAGGGGCTTATTTTGAGAGCATTATCAAACAGAGCTTATAACTTATTAGTAACTTAAAATAAGCTATAAGCTCCTAAATAAGCTTTGTCAGAGCCTAAATGGATGCTTAGTTTGTGAGTTTAGATGCAATAAAGTTGAATAAAAGTCATAAATATGTTTGATTAACTCTTTTTTAACTAGTCAAATTTAATAAATTTGAATAAAAGTCATAAATATGTTTTTTAACCATTTTTAATGAGTCAAATGTGATTTAAATGCATTACCATTACAACTTTAATTTTCAAGTCGTTGGTTGATACTTGATATGTTGTGCATGTAAATATTGTACATTTGATGAGAACTATACTTAAGAAATTAAATTAAATAGATAAAATATAAAGTGTGTAAGTATAGATTTTTTTTTTTTTTAAAAAAAAAAAGAAAGAAAAAGACTATATAAGTTAATTTACACATTGAAGTAGTCAAGAGATCCATAGAGAAACCAAAGAAAAAAAAGCAAGCTATATTTATGAGTAGGAATGTGACATCCAACTAATACATCTAACAAATTTTGAACCAATAACTTCTCATAAAAATAATATCACTTCATTCCTGGTCACAAACAACTAACTTAGTATTATGAGAAGAAAAACGATAAAATTAGATTAAAAGGAGGCTAGCTCCAAGTCTTGAACAACAAAGGGAAAAGGAACAAAGAAACATTCCAAACGATCGGACTTGAATAAGGCTTCCCGAGCAAGTAAGTGGGCGACCCTATTCGCAGATTGTTTAACAAACAAAAAGCTGAGGCTATGAAATCCTCTAGCTATATAGCAAATGTCTTTCAAAATAAGATCAAAATAGAAAAATGCAGAGTGGGACTGGATGCCTTTGATGACTTTCATGCAGTCACTTTCAACTTGAACTTGATCCAGGTTGTGTTGCTTTGTCCATTTAAGAGCTTCATGAACTGCTATTGCATCCGCCTCATCTGGTCTGCATAAACCACTGCCATGGGATCATTCTTGCTGCCGTGAACTTGCGATTTGAATCACGAAGGACAAACCCAAATCCCATATATTATTGTGTAAAATTTAATTAAATAGCATCTTAGAATGAGTTTTGAAAATTTATCCCAATTACTATTCAAAATGGGTCATAAGTTCAAATCTTGATGGTGGGAGGTTAAATTCTTTGGGCTAAAAATGTTTAAGAAAATATAGAATAGATACAATTTTGTAAAGAACCATGTGTCATGTGTGTTTCAAAAAAAAAAAAAAAAAATCTTAGAAGAAGAGTTTTGAAAATTTGTATGTGTTCAAAAAGAAAAGTTTCATTCAAATTAAAATAAACTTAAATTTAAGTGTTTTTAAAATTTATATTGATGACAAAAAAAAAAATGACAATTAAGATTTTAAAATTTCAATTTATTGTTATTTGTAATTTTTTAGTAATTGACATTTTTTTTAAATACACCTGAGATCAAATTTTTATATGCTTAAATACAAAATATTATATTCATGTATAAAGGTGTGTGTCTTTAATTAAATTATGATAGTTACGACATTACAAAATTATTCCTGAAAATTTAAGATAGTTATAATGGATGAATTGGGCCAAGGTTCATAAAGTGATAAGAACCCAATAGTGAAGGCATGGGAAATAGGTTGAGTGCAACTTATGCCCTGAACCCGTGTCCAAAACGACGTCGTTTTCAGGAAAAACGCGTTATTTCAGTTAAAAAAAAAATTGATTTTGTTTCGTCGTTAACGGTGTTATTCGTTTGTGCCATTATAAATGTACAGTTATAGGATTATGAATGTATAGTTATGGGATTATGAATGTACATTTATGGGAGTATGAATGTACAATTATGGATTATGAATATAAGTTATAAAATTATGAACACAGAGCTCTGACATTATGAACATAGAGCTCTAAAATTCTGAACATGGAGTTTCGAAAATTATGAATTTACAGTTATTAAATTATGAATGTACAGTTACGGAATTATGAATGTACAATTATGCAATTATGAATGTACAGTTATGAAATTATGAATGTACAGTTATGGAATTATGAACACAGAGCCCTGACATTATGAACTTACAATATGAACATATAATGATAAAATTATGAACATAGAGCTCTAAAATTGTGAACATAGAGTTTCGAAAATTATGAATTTACAATTATTGAATTATGAATGTACAGTTATGCAATTATGAACACAGAACTCTGACATTATGAACTTACAATTATGAACATAT